CAGGTATTTCGCCTACCATTATGACAACTGATTATCATACGAGTCAGTGTATTATCGTTCAATACAATACAAAAGCTCGTGCGGGTTGTTAACCCAGGTATTTCGCCTACCATTATGACAACTGATTATCATACGAGTCAGTGTATTATCGTTCAATACAATACAAAAGCTCGTGCGGGTTGTTTACCCAGGTATTTCGCCTACCATTATGACAACTGATTATCATACGAGTCAGTGTATTATCGTTCAATACAATACAAAAGCTCGTGCGGGTTGTTTACCCAGGTATTTCGCCTACCATTATGACAACTGATTATCATACGAGTCAGTGTATTATCGTTCAATACAATACAAAAGCTCGTGCGGGTTGTTTACCCAGGTATTTCGCCTAACATTATGACAACTGATTATCATACGAGTCAGTGTATTATCGTTCAATACAATACAAAAGCTCGTGCGGGTTGTTAACCCAGGTATTTCACCTACCATTATGACAACTGATTATCATACGAGTCAGTGTATTATCGTTCAATACAATACAAAAGCTCGTGCGGGTTGTTTACCCAGGTATTTCGCCTACCATTATGACAACTGATTATCATACGAGTCAGTGTATTATCGTTCAATACAATACAAAAGCTCGTGCGGGTTGTTTACCCAGGTATTTCGCCTACCATTATGACAACTGATTATCATACGAGTCAGTGTATTATCGTTCAATACAATACAAAAGCTCGTGCGGGTTGTTAACCCAGGTATTTCGCCTACCATTATGACAACTGATTATCATACGAGTCAGTGTATTATCGTTCAATACAATACAAAAGCTCGTGCGGGTTTTTTACCCAGGTATTTCGCCTACCATTATGACAACTGATTATCATACGAGTCAGTGTATTATCGTTCAATACAATACAAAAGCTCGTGCGGGTTGTTAACCCAGGTATTTCGCCTACCATTATGACAACTGATTATCATACGAGTCAGTGTATTATCGTTCAATACAATACAAAAGCTCGTGCGGGTTGTTAACCCAGGTATTTCGCCTACCATTATGACAACTGATTATCATACGAGTCAGTGTATTATCGTTCAATACAATACAAAAGCTCGTGCGGGTTGTTAACCCAGGTATTTCGCCTACCATTATGACAACTGATTATCATACGAGTCAGTGTATTATCGTTCAATACAATACAAAAGCTCGTGCGGGTTGTTAACCCAGGTATTTCGCCTACCATTATGACAACTGATTATCATACGAGTCAGTGTATTATCGTTCAATACAATACAAAAGCTCGTGCAGGTTGTTAACCCAGGTATTTCGTCTACTATTATGACAACTGATTATAATTCGAGTCAGTG